TATTTTTTTTTCATGTTTTCATGCAATTTCATAAATGTTTAACATATGATACTTTATACACTTTTTTTTTTTTTACTTTCACAATAGCATCAATATCATCTGCAGTGCCATCAGGTAATGTGTTTTGCATACTTATGCAGTTTTATGGGTTTTATGTGTATTGAAATTAAACATTACTTTTTTCATGTTTGTTATCAATTACATAAATGTTTAACATATGATACTTAATACACTTTTTTTTTTTTTTACCTTCACAATAGCATCAATATCATCTGCAGTGCCATCAGGTAATGTGTTTTGCATACTTATGCAGTTTTATGGGTTTTATGTGTATTGAAATTAAACATTACTTTTTTCATGTTTGTTATCAATTACATAAATGTTTAACATATGTGTTTGTTTATATACTTTTTTATTTATTTCCGCAATAGCAACAGTATCAACTGTAGTACCACCAGGTAATGTGTTTTCCATACTTATGCAGTTTTTCCTAAACATTACTTTTTTCATGTTTGTATGCAATTACATAACTGTTTAATATATTTGTTAGTTCATATACTTTTTTATTTATTTCCATATTAGCAACAATATCTGCAGGACCATCAGGTAATCTGTTTTGCATACTTATGCAGTTTTGTGGGTGTTATGTGTATTTGTGTAGGTATATATGAAATTTAAACATTGCATATCCTTATTTTTACATTACTTTATTTATTTATTTTTTTTGTCATAACTTTTTTTTTTTTGAAGTCTAAATAGTTTTAAATAATATTTTTATTGGTTGTTTTGTGCAGTATTGTATTCAAATTTATTTCTTTTTTTGTTTTTGTTTTTTAGCATCGCATCAAGAATTCCTGCAATATCGCTCCCGGCACTTAGGTCCAATATCTCCAAGAGCTTTTTACAGGTGGAGTCAATATGGGGGAGATGATCCCTCCTTTAGATGGGGGAGACAAGCCCCATATGACACCACTGGTAGAAGGAGGGGTGCTGGAAAGCGGTTTAACTCTTTTAATTTCTACCAGTAGCTTTTTTAAACTACTGGTAGAATTATCTTCTTTTTTATTTATAAAAAAAAATGACTTTTTAAAAAAATGTTTTTTTTAATTTCGCAATTTTTTATTATTTTAATTTATATACTTTTACTATTTTTTTTTTTTTTTGATTTTTAATTCTGTTTTTAAATCCTAAACTTACAAAGAACTCTTATGTTATAAAAGTTTTTAATAATTTGTCTATAAGTTTTTTTATTAATTTACGTTTTTACATCTTTTTATCCTCATTTTTAATTTTAATAATTCTAAATTTTCTTTTGTTTTAACTTTTATTTGTTAAGTGTTATATAGTTTTTGAAAGATTTGGTAAATATGTTTAAAGTTTTTCTTTTTCTATGATATCTGTTTAATATGTCTAATATATGCACTATACACCTATTAATCTCTTTACATTATTCTCTTTAGATATATTATAAAATAGTATTTAAAATCAGTTGTCAGCCACATGTGGTCTATATGATGCAACATGTTTGCAATTGTTGGCATGTCATTTAAAAATTTGTAACTAATTTTGCTTTTTAATATTACAATTAATATGACTTTTAAAATAATAAATTTTTTTTTATTTGTTTCAAAAAATACTGTTTTATTTCTTACAATATAGTATGTTATTACAAGATACTTCTGGCTTTTTCTCTGTTTCAAACCAGTTTAGTTATATCTTTTGTTCACAAATTTTATTAGACGCTATACACATAGTTTCATAGGTTTAAACTGATAAATAGCACTTTATTGTTTTTGTTCATTTTAGATTAGTATAGCAAAAAATTAATAAGATATTCGTTTATATATCTTTATTTATATTTATGTGCTTAAGTTTAAATAACTTTATATTAAGTTGTTTCCATGTAAAAAGTGGTGTTACTTGGCAACGTGTTGTGCAAGATTGTGATTCTTGCTAGCCAAGCGGTGTTACTAATGATGTTACTTGGAACTTAATGCCAAGCGGTGTTACTAAATTGTGGTGTTACTTGGCAGCGTTTAGTGCCAAGTGGTGTTACAAGTGTTGAGCTAGGTTGTGTTGTCTAGCTTTTTTAATTATTCTGGAAACACATAATCTGAATATTTTGTGTTATGTACAAACATTTTATGCTATGTGTATTCAGTAGCACTGGCAGGGTCTTTTGATGCTTCAGATAGCACTTTCAACCAAACTTAAGTGTATTCACGTTTAAAGAATTAAAAAACTTTGCAAAAAATTGATGTTGTTAAAGCTTAGGAACAAATGTTTAAAAAAAGTGTTTTTCCTAACCTGAATTTTTTTAGACATAACAAAGTTAAACTCTTCAACAGCTTCTAAATTTATCTGAAACAACAAAAATCCTGCCTACACTATATATTCTATATATCTGAAACAACAAATTCCAAACAAATAATAATTCTATATACCTGAAACAACAAAAATCCTGCCTACACTACTGGTGTTATTGGATGTCATCCTGTAATATTGTTGTTATGTTTTGTGTTAATAGACAGCTTGGCTTACCTTCACGTTGGTGTCTATTGTTAAAAATGATTATTGGGTAGCTTCATTACTGAAACTTACTCCTAATCATTCACTAAAAGCCAAGAAATATTTTAAGAAAAAGCCTAATTTTTTTGTGTCAGTAAGAATTTTTATCTTTAGCAATGCTGATAAAACTGAATTTTTTTAAAAAAAGAGTATTTCCAGCCTTCCAACCAAATATTAGAGACTTTTACAAAAGCACGCTCACAAAGTAAGTGTCTAATATTTATTTAATATTACTAAATTTCGTTTCGTATTTTTCATTTTTCAAATGAATTAACATTGAATTAACATGAATTAACACAAACATGAATTAACACAAACATGAAACAACATGAATTAACACAAACAAATAAATGTGCGTTCAGTGTTATTAATAATGATTTTATTTCATTTTTAGATAATGCTTTTATAATCAATATAAAAGTCTTTCAAATCGTTAATCATTTTCTAAAGGCGAAGAGGAAGAATCATTAATCTTCATACTATTTAATAAAGCTATTTTAATAAAACGCAATACAAATTGTTGTAAATTAGTATTTGAATAATTTTCACGTTGCTACCTTATTTTGCAGTTTCCTATCACTTTGTATTGAATTAACTAAATCCAATATTACAGTTCCTTATATCAAGTACTTCACATTTTCTGTTTTTGTTTTATGGAGAAAATCAGATCAATTAATTTATTTGACTTGCCTAGCTACTTATTTTACACGCCTAGCGACAGTGAGTGTGCATAAATCAACAGAGGATTTGGGTTTGGGCAGGTTGTCTTGAACTAAATGATTTACCTTCTTCATGTTAAGCTCTAAGTATAAATATACGGAAAAGTTGCATATGTGAATTTTTTTTTTTTTTTTTTCTAGCACATAATCTATTGTTCACTAAAAAATATTAGAGGGAGAAATAGAGATAAGGTTAATGTGGAATAGAATTTGTCCTTTTAAGTGAAAAACTATTTTATAATCTATCTTCTATATAATAATGCCAAACTTAATAGTAGTGTTGGTAGAAAGAGTCGCAACACTTTTTTTAGAAGAAAACGTGTATGCAAATATCTAACGTACGTATTTAAGTAATGATAAAACATACTGAAACATTTTTCAAGTTTTATACTTTGACTTAAAAATTGCATTGCGTCAACCTCTCCTAATTTTGTGATCTACAGCAATTCCGTTAAAAACAGTTTTTATATATTTTTAAAATTTCGATATTTGATGTGTCAGCATGGCCGAGTGGTTAGCGCGCTAAGCCTCTGAACGCAATAGTCGTTGTTCAAATTTACTGCTTGCGATTTTTTTCTTTAAATTACAAAATATTTGTGAAGTTAAACAAGTTAAATGTTATACACTTTACCCGTTTTTTTTTTTTTTAATTTTATAAATTTTTTGGATTTCTTAAAACACCAATAAACGTGGCGAAAATTTTTTGCGTGTGTGTCACGATTTTGATACTGTTCTCGCATAATTAGTCCTAATAAGCTACGGATAGTCTTAAAAAAAAAGGTCCTAAAACCTAATAAGGAAAAAATTTAATAAAACCGTCCTGCTACTCCACATGGTATTGCAGTGGATGCAGGGAAAAAAAAGTAATTAAAAGGTTTTTTGTTATATTTAATTTTTTGCTATAAATATAGCCAGATTAAAAAAATTAAAAAAAATGTATTGAGATTTTTTAGGCGCAGACTTGAAGCCTTGCACAGCGACTCTGATGACTGCGCACTTAACTTGTGAGCTATCAAAGTTATGCATGTAGTTAGGTGCTTCAACATTTTTTTAAAAATGTAAAATGAAAACAAAATAAATACCATAAGTAAGAGCTAAATAATAACGTTTAAAAATTACCAAACTTTTTGTTATAATATTATTAATTCTTCAACTTTTAAACCAAAAAATTTATAATTTATTTTTTTGCATGACTTTTGACGCTTTAAGCGACTAACGTTTTAAAGAATTGCATTACCGTTTCCGTCTAATACAAAGATAACGATAAAAGACCGTTATTATTCAAAACTAAGCATATATTAATAATAAATATAGTAAACTATTGAATATGACTCGGACGCGACCATAAACCATGGTCCATGGCTGGTCTAAAAGTAGGAAGTAGTTTAGTTCAGAATTTAAAAAAAAATATATATATATAAACGGGGTTTTATTAGCTATATACGCATGCGGAAAAAGTGCGTATGTTAAAGTTTTTTTTTGCACTTAAAGCAAATTTTTTTAATGATTTTTTTTCCACAGTTTACTAAAAAATATTGAAGTAAATAAAGAACAAGTAAAGATATGATTGGCGTGGAATTGATAAATATAGAAGTAGAAAAAAAGACCTGTGTTTACCGATACGGACAGCTAGATTAAGAAAATAAGGCAAAAGGTTTGTGTGGAATAGACTTAGAAAGACCCGTATTTTTACGGGTCAACTCAGCTAGTATATATATATTTATATATACAGATATATATATATATATATATATATATATATATATATATATATATATATATATATATATATATATATATATATATATACAGATATATATATATATATATATATATATACAGATATATATATATATATATATATATATATATATATATATATATATATATATATATATATATATATATATATATATATATATATATATATATATATACAGATATATATATATATATATATATATATATATATATATATAACATATATATATATATATATATATATATATATATATATATATATATATATATATATATATATATATATATATATATATATATATATATATATATATATAACATATATATATATATATATATATATATATATATATATATATATATATATATATATATATATATATATATAACAATTATATATATATATATATATACATATATATATATATAACAATTAAACCTGTAAAAAATTTCTCTCTATATTAACTTGTTCAAGTGCCTGTGAAACGAATGATAGAAAAGAAGAAGCATTCAGTAGGCTTGCAATTTTTTTTAAATATATTTTTAAATGATCTGAATAATTTTTTTGTTTTTATTTAGTTGAATGATGAAATTGTTTATACAAAAGATTGGCTCTTTAACCTTTATTTTAAATATGTTATTTCCTTGTTAACTGTTGTTTGTCATTAACAAAGCAATTGAAAATATACGCATAATGAAAACAGATTTATCTTTCGAACTGTTCACAAAATTTTTGGTTTGGATACAAAAAACCAAGTGAATATGATACTGGAAAGGTACACTTTCTTATATCTAAACATCATTGCAGCTTTCTATTCTTTTTTCCAGTTTAAATGAATAACAACTCTCAAGGTGAATTAGCTGAATTATCTTTTTGTTTTGATAGTCTTTAGTCAATAACGGTTTATTAAATTGTTATGAGTCTACAACACTTAATTTCAGCGTAATTCAATTAAAAAGTCATGTTATATAAGACATAAAAATATCAATATCTGTTTTTAATAACTTAGCTTTCATAGCAAATCTGAGAGGTGCAAATGTTTAGCTTGATTTAACTACTACATAATGAAATACATCGTTGTACAGTCATTTTGACAATTGTAAATTTATTTAGCACACTCATTTTTATATATTTTTAGACTGTTTACCGTTTGACTCCTGTCCCAATCTAACCTAGTGGGTTCAAAAAGAAGGGACCGCGCTGGAAACATGAGTGGATTAAAAGGATCACCCCTTTTTGAATTAATAGTCGGTAAGTATAATTTCCTCCACTTATTTAATCAAGTTTCGTTTACTTTTTTTTTGAATTAAATTTAAGCAATAGACTGTTTTTTATGTTCACTCGTTTTTTAGATGTGGTAACCAGCTAGAAGTTGTAACCTGCTCGTATGAAAGGATTTCTCGACATGAAATTGTTAATTTTATTGAACAACGCCAAGAAACAAAGCTCGCTCAAGAAACAGAAAAGAAAGAAAAAGATGAACAATATTCTGTTGAACAATACTATTGTTTTATTTATAAATTATTCTTCTATATTTAAACATACAAAAGATGTAGAAAATGCTTCTTTTTTTATATTGACATCTAAAAGAGGTTTTTTTTTTCGGCATCGGAAAGAGCTTTTTGTCATACTTTGTATGAAGAGCTATTATCATTTTCATTTTAAAAAAACCGTTTTTCATATATGAAAAGTAGGAATACTATAGTGTATAGGACACTATAGTATACTAATAAGTATGGCAAAAAAGTCGTTCCGACCTCGAGAAAAAACACTTTTTTAGAAGTGCATAATTGATAAACAAAGACGTCTTAAAGACCCATTTTTTATGTCTTTTCATGATAAGATAAAGACAAAAAAGACGCATTTTCGATGTCGAAAAAAGATGTCGTTTAGATTTGCATATTCGACTAAAAAAAGGCGTCTTAAATACGCAATTTTTATGTCTTTTCATGACAATTTTAAGATAAAGAAAGACGTCTTTTAGATGTTGAAAAAAGATGTCTTTTAGATTTGCATAATCGATTAAAAAAAGACGTCTTAAAGACATCGTAAATAAGACTTTTAAAGACGTCTTTTCGATGTCTTTTTTCCCAATGGGACCGTCTTTTGCATTAAAAATCATTTTTCTATATCATAGACAATTTTTTCCTCTAACTAAAAAAATTTTTTAGGAACTCTCTATATATGGAAACTTCTTTGGCGAAAAACTTAAATATAATATTTACTTGCGTAAAATATAAGTTTGTAATTTTGAAAACCATTAGAAAACCCTGATATGGAAAACTCCTGCATGGAATAGTCGCTTTATAGTATCTAACTATAGAAGGAAAAACTTTCTGAGGAAGTTACAAATTGATTACGAATAGGTAGTGTAAGGGGTAATAAGAGGCAAATAAAAAGTTAGGCGGAGTGCCGTCAAATCCGATATTGAAAAATGTTTTTGGGGGCAAAGTGGTCAAGTGAATTCAAACTAGGGGTGAACCAAATCGAAAATTTTAAATTACGGCCGGAACTGGAACTACCAGAGTTGTTAATAAAATTCCGACAGGGTTTTTACCTAGGTTTACCTATAGCTGTTCATTGCCTTGTAGGACAATCGTTTTTTGATTTAATTTACACAGTCTGTATTACATGTCTTAATTTTCTCATGTTTTAGTCTAACTTGCATGTCTGAAACCTGGTGTAGCTCGGAAGTCTTAAATTCTAACTCAAGTTACTGTTTACCAGGTTTCAAAATAATTCATTTAGAGCGTCATAATAATAAGCGTGGCGGTGGTGTAGTAATTTATATTAAAGAATGTTTAAGCTATTTTATTAGGCCTGACATGAGTAATTCTGATGACGATAAAGAGGTTTAAACAGTTGAAATTAAAACCAAAAAAAAGTTTAATTATAAGTTGTTGCTATCGCCCACCTTCTGGCCAAGTTAAAAAATTCAGTTTATTTTTAAATGATACTTTAAGAATTCAAGAAAAGAAATTATACTACCTAATAGGTGACATTAATTTGGATTGTTTTCAATACCAAACCAATTGTGGGATTAAAAATTTTTATAATGATTTATTTGAACATGGAGTGTTTCCGTTAATTAAAAAACCAACTAGAATAACTGAGACATCAGTTACCTTAATAGACAATATCATTTCAACTGATATTTTTAATAAATCTCTTAAAAAAGGTATTATTAAATGTGACATCTCTGATCACTTTCCAACTTTTTTCTCAATTAACATTGCCACAGCAAAAATACCCCAACAGAATGTAACGTTTACAAAACGCTTTTTTACTTCAACGAATTTAAATTCATTTAAAGAACAGTTATCCCACTGCATTGGAAAAATGTAAATGCTTCTGCAGACGCTAATGTAGCTTACGACGCATTCTTTAAAACTTTTTATAAAATATACGACGTAAATTTTCCAAAATGTACTTTAATTTAAAAAAATAGAAGTTTAATGTCACCGTGGATCACAAAAGATCTCAGAAAATCTTCTAAAATTAAGCAAAAGTTATATATTAAATACTTGAAAGCAAAAATACAAGATAGTAAGATTCTTCACAAAAATTATGTCAGAAAGTTTGAAACACAAAGAAAGAATTTAAAAAAACTGTACTACTCCAATCTACTTGAAATGAACAAACATAATTCTAAACGAACCTGGGAAATTCTAAGAGAAGTTACTGGCATGCAAAAAACAAAAACATGCCTATAATCTTAAAAATTAATGATAAATATTTGTCCAATCCAACAATGATATGTGATGAATTAAATAAATTCTTTGTGTCAGTTGGCCCAAATCTTGCAAAAAAAGTTCCTTTTGTGATAAACAAAATGGATCACTTCGATTTTCCGTTAACTTCTCTCTAACTTCCTTTGAATTATCTTTTGAAGAATTTGAGCAATCTTTTAAAATGCTCAAGTCTAATAAATCTGTCGGTCACGACGGTATATATAGTAATGTGGTCATTGACTCGTATGAGTATTTAAAAGATGTACTATTTAAAGTTTTACACTGTTCAATAAAACAGGGAATATTTCCAGACCATCCTAAAATAGCCAAAGTCACACAATTTTCAAAGAAGGTGATACTACAAATCTTACAAATTATCGCCTAATCTCTGTTTTACCTGTTTTTTCTAAAGTGTTAGAGAGAATCCTAAATAACGTAATTTATAATCACCTTTCTTTAAATGATATACTTTATACTAATCAATACGGGTTCAAAAAAAATACATCAACCGAACACGCGATACTCCATATAACTCGTAGTATTTCTGAATCGTTTGAAAATTCCCAATATACGTTGGGAGTTTTCATAGATTTATCAAAAGCATTTGATACAATCGATCACCAAATTCTCCTTAAAAAAGTTAAATATTATGGAATTAAAGGAAATGTTTTAAAGTTACTTCAAAGTTACTTAAGTAACCGCAAACAGTTTGTTTATAGTAATGAAGTTAACCCACCTGATTTATTAAACATAACCTGTGGAGTTTCGCAGGGCTTAATATTAGGACCCCTTGTCTTTCTCATTGATATAAATGATCTTCATAAAACTTCTAGTTTGATGCCAGTCATGTTTGCCGATGACACTAACCTCTTTTTGTCTGATAATAGCATAACTACATTATTTCGAGAAATGAACATGGAATTAACAAAAATATCTGGTTGGTTTAAAATAAATAAACTTTCACTAAATGTCGAATAAACAAAATGGACACTTTTTCATTCAGCGTCTAAAAAAAAACTACTTCCTAGTGAACTACCTTTACTTTTTATTGATAAAATCCAAATAAAAAGAGTAATTAGTGCTAATTTTTTGAGTATCTATGTTGATGAAAGACTTAGTTGGAAATACCACATTGAATTCTTGTGTAATAAAATTGCTAAAAGTATAGGAATATTGTATAAAGCTCTAACTCAATTATTTTTCTCTTTTATCCATTGACATTTAAACTATGCAAATATTGCTCGGTGCAATGCCAATAAATGTAGGCTGGAGCCTCTTTATCGTCAACAGAAGCATGTTGCTCGTCTTATTAATTTTAAAAACAGATTTACTCATGCCAAGCCTCTTTTATTTGAAATGAAAATTCTTAATATATATCAGCTGAATGTTTTTAATATTCTTTGTTTTATGTATAATGTAAAACTAACTCTTCCCCAGTTTCTTTCCATAATTTATACACGCTGAAATATAAAAATAAATACAATTTAAGAAATGATAATTTAATTAGTCAACCATTTTTTCAGACTAATTTTGGAAAATCTTTCTTTTCGAGGAGCTTTTATTTGGAACAAATAGTTTTAAAACATTTTAATTTTTCTCTGAAATGGAGTTATTTTTTATTCAGAAATAAGCTTAAAGAAATCATTTTGTCTCATGATGATATATTGTCATATCTTTAAACGTTATTAATTTGATGTATTATTTTAGTTTATTCAGTTGAATATTTATAAGAACATGCACTTAAATGTGATTAACTATATATGCATTTGAATTTATATATATATATATATATATATATATTAGGTTGACCGGAAAGTAATGTCGTTTTTGCGCATGTTGACATTCGATAATCGTTGGCCAGTTTATTGTGTATCTCGAACACGTGCACAGGTTATTTTTATATTAGTGTGACTTGTTTACTTCTAAATTATTTAAAATTAAATAGTTTTCTTTGCAAATTGGAGTGAAATGGCATACGAAATACAGGAAGTGCATATTCGTCATTGTATGCTTTTTGAATTTCGCAAGGGTAATAACGCTACAGTTGCGACTAAGAACATTAGTGATGTTTACCCAGGTTCATTAGATGTTCGCAAATGCCAAAGATGGTTTTCCAAGTTTAGATCTGGGAATTTTGATCTTTCTGACGCCCATCGACCAGGAAGACCAATGTCATTAGACAACGACGTTCTAAGGGCAGAAGTTGAAGCAAATCCATGCCAAACCATTGAAGAATTGTTGAACACCCTTAACCAACCTTGGTCGACCATCCAAGAACATTTACACCAAAAATCAAGAAAAAATCAGCAGAGCAGGTGTTTGGGTCCCCCATAACTTGTCAGTGCAAAACAAAGCCAACAGATCAACCACGTGCAATGCATTGATTCAACGGCACCATGCAGAACCGTTTCTTGATCGTTTGATCACTGGAGATGAAAAATGGGTCCTATACGATAATCCAAAACGCAAAAGGCAGTGGCTCTCCCCAAATGAACCAGCTCGCAGTACTGCAAAGCCGGGATTACACCCCAAGAAGGCGCCCCTGTGTGTTTGGTGGAGCATCCGCGGAATCGTCCACTTTGAAGTGCTTATTCCTGGACAAACTGTTAATGCGGACCTTTATTGTCAACAATTGGATCAAGTAAACCAATTAGCCGGGTAATTCTCAACAAGCTCTAGTTGAGAATTACCCGGCTATCGTCAACAGAAAAGGTGTCATTCTTCAACATGACAATGCAAGGCCGCACTGTGCACGACGGACGCTAGAAAAAATTAATGAATTAGGATGGGAGGTGCTGCCCCACCCTCCATATTCACCTGATATCGCCCCTTAAGATTTTCATTTGTTCCGATCCTTACAGCACTTTCTAAGTGACAAAAAATTTCAAACTTTGTACTGCTTAAAAAATGGCATCTCCAGATATTTTGATGACAAACCAATACATTTTTTTCGATCTGGTATAGAAAATTTGCCCGCTAGATGGCAAAAGGTTGTGGAAAATGAGGGTGATTATATCATTGATTAAAAATAAATATTATAAAAAAATTATTTGTTTTAATTTGACGTAAAAATACGACATTACTTTCCGGTCAACCTAATATATATATATATATATATATATATATATATATATATATATATATATATATATATATATATATATATATATATATATATATATATATATATATATATATTGAATTTTATAAAGTTTTAATTCACGAGTGGTTTTTGGTGACAAGACCTAATGGTCTTCTGCGAGTCTCCGCGTTCTTTTTATATTAACAAAAAAGTCTTAGTTTTATTTATCTTTTATTTATTTCTTATTGAGTAACTTTTTTAACAATCTATTTGTAAATTTTTATTAACGATCTAATTGTAAATTTTTCCTAACGATCTAATTGTAAATTAATTAATTTTTCTTTGAATATATTGTAATAAGAACAAAAAAAAAAAAAAAAAAATGTCTTAAAAAAAAAGGTAAATAGTTAATTTTGGCATTCCTGCCTGAAAAGTTGTAACTCCGGCCGGATCCGGATTGTCAAAAATTCAGCCGGACAAAATAAGAATATATTTATTATAAATATTTAGGAAAAATTCCGGAAATTTTTATGCCTAATATTGAAAAACAGGAACTCGTCACCTCGTGCATCCTATAAATTAATAAAATGTCTTAAAAACAAAGAACACTTAATTTTAACATCAATTTTGTAAACCGA